GTCTAGCCTTGACCGATGTAGAATTAGCATCAGCTTCGGGTAAAGAAATAACTGTTGCCATGGAAGCCACGAAGATCCATGCAAAATTGAAGAAATATGTAGATGGAGAAATTTGCTTGAAACCGTTTGGATTGGTTTTTGCTGGGAATGAAAAAAATGGGAAAGCTAAGAGATTTCTTTTTCAAGCCTGCGAAGTGGAGAGATATATTACTACTCAATATACGAACTTCATTGTTCGTATGAATAACTATTTGAAGAATAATCAAGGAGATAAAAAGGAACTGAAGAAGATTTTGACTTGGTACTCTGAAATTCGAAGGATGATGCATTTTGCTGCACATATTCTCACAAATTGAGAAGTTCGACATTATTACAAAGGGGGAGATTGTAAGGGTCGAAGTTTTGGTTGTAATATGTCGAAATCTGTAATGTTATTTTACAAGACACTTTATGTCGAAACTTAGTGTTTTAGTCCTTGTAATTTTTTGTATGCTTTCGTGTCTCCTATAAATAGGAACTTTACTTAGAGTTAGATAAGGATCCGAATTTTTCTTGTCTACTTTCTCTCTGTAAACATTGAAAGCATAATATGAGCTGAAACCAGATTCTATTTACTCTTGTGGTTTGTTTACACAATTACTCTGATAGACTTTATAATTCTCGATTCAATACTTCATCACATCGGTACAATGGATAGGTTGATGACTCCTTCCCATTCTCCAATCTTCGCTTCTACTTCATGTGCCACGCCTGCAACTGGTTTGGCGGCAGAATTCATGGGTTTGATGGAGCCACCGCCTTTTACATAGTTGATCCCTAATCGCTTGGCTTCCTCTACAAAGGTAAAGTTACGAGTCGCCGCACTATCAAAAAGGGCCCTCAAAGGAGTTTCATGCATGATTGATTCCACAAACTAGAGTCCCTTCTTCTTTGTCTTCAGCACCTCGGTCCTGGCTTTGATTGCATTGAGAATCCTTAATAACCCTACACAAGCATCTTCACCTCCTTCCTCACTTTGGATCATTGCTTGGAGTTTGGCATGCTTTGGGTAATTTTGTAGGGCATGTGGTCCGCTACATAAAAAATAACCATCGACCTTGTTGGTTGGATGAGCATCTCTTGCGTTTTTAACTGAGGTCCTCCGAGTATTATCAGTCTTTGGGGCGTCGGTTCTTGCAGCTTTATTCCTAAATTGCATCGATTTCTCTCCCCCACTTCTTTCAAAGTTCTCTCTTCGGAGGTCTTGTGATCTCGATGGTTCCCTTTGGCCGAAATCAACCAAGTCGCCGGCTTCCGCGATTGCATTCAGGAGGTCTTTTACTCATTGTCTCTTCAACTCTTTCTTGGCCCACCCTTTCAGCCCATCGAAGAAGTAGACAAAAGCATCATCATCAGTAAGATCGGGTATCTCCAAAGTGAGGGTGGTGAACTCCTTCACATAGTCATGAATAGTCCCCGTTTAATGACGTTTCTAAAGGCAGATCTAGGCTTCCATCATTGCATTCTCCGGATAAAGTTGTATTTTGAGTTCATGAATAAAATCATCCCAAGTGTTCATGACAGACGTACCCCGTTCGATGTCAGCATGCCTACGTCGCCACCATAATGCCACAATGTCCTTCAAGTACCTTGTAGCAGTCTTGATCTTCATATAATCATCCGTTATGTTTACTCCTTCGAAGTATTGCTTCATTTCCCATAGGAATTCATCAACCACCCTTGCTTCTCTCTTCCCAACGAACATTTAAGGCTTTGGAACTTCAACTTTTTAGGTGTAGATGTTGGTGCCTCCTACTCTACCAACTCCGTCCGCATGCAAAGGGCCCAATCCGCATGGACATCCTCTACACGTCGAGTCAAGATGGAGAGCTCACTTTTCACTTGTTCACTTAACTTAGCCGCCTCACCTAGGAGCATCTCTTGTAAGCCATGCATCTCATTACATAAGTCCCCACCAAGTTTGTTGATTTCTCCCTTCACGTTGTCTTGCATTTCATCATTATCCAATGCCATCACCCCCATTTGTTGATGTGCATCCTCAAACTGATTGCACAAAGTTTCTAAGGAAGTCTACACTTCCGAAATTCTCTTGTCTAAGGATACCCACATATCCTTAAACTTACCTCGTCCATTGCTTGCACCTTAACGAATCTCCTCTCGTCCTCAATGTTCTTCGTTCGCCACGACACTAGCATCACAAGTAGCTTTCTTCTCCATCTCGCATGCCATACCTTCTTTCAATTGGTTAACTCTGATACCACTTGTCATGGACTTGACTCTTCAAGCTCTCTATGAGGCACTTAGTTCTCAAACTAAGTCAGCCTAACTCGAATCTCCAACACAAGAACCAGAACAAGGAAAGGAAGAAGGCAACTCAATACATGAAAGCTCTTTATTACTCAAGAGAACGTAACTTAATTACAAGGTGATGAAAAATGAAATGGGAGAGCACTATATATACAAGAGGCAAGAACTCCTAGGAACTAAAGGACATTTTCTAGAATCTTTCTAGAAGATGTCTTTCCATGAGCCTTCCATGGAGTTTGTAGATATCTTCTAAAATGTTTCTAGATAGGACTATTCTAGAGGAAAAAATAATTAGAAAAAATATCTAAATAAGGCGGGTCGTTACATTATGCACAATGACTTATACCTATTAATTTTAAGACATTATGCATTATTGTGTTGTACAAAAGGCTTAATATGTTGTATTTAAGACTTTAATATGGATGTTTTATAATATAATAAAGATATTAATTTGCATATGGTGATTGTGATACAAATTTACTTCAATTTTAAAGCATTTGATTCAAAATACAAAATAAGGTTCTATTTGTAAATAACAATTTTGACTCTTTTTAAGGCTATCCAGTGTGTGCAACGCCCCACCGGTGTTTTTCCGACGTGGCACCAAGAAAACGACGTTACCACGGTATAAACACTGCCCTCTTTACCGTTTTTGCATGTTATAAGCTTGCATTGCTTCCCGTTACCACCACAACCTCCGATAACGCTGATTTCTTCTTAAATCAGATAAAGACGCCGGTGGCACGTTGCCCACACTGGATAGCCTTTTCCCCTCAACTAACTTCGATTTAATAGTTTTCATCCCTAGATATATTATTGTTGTTTTCTATGTTGGGATTTTGGTTCCTTATTATATTTTTGGTCCCTTACATAATTTGTTTATATAATTTTCTATTTTATTAATATTAATTTTTATTAATTATAATTTTTTATTAATTGCCATTGGTAGTATTAAGCCTTTTTTTATTATTCTCCATCTCACACGCCATACATTCTTTCAATTGGTTAACTCTGATACCACTTGTCACAGACTTGACTCTTCAAGCTCTCTGTGCAACACTTAGTTCTCAAACTAAGTCAACCTAACTCGAATCTCCAACACAAGAACCAGAACAAGGAAAGGAAGAAGGTAACTCAATACACGAAAGCTCTTTATTACTCAAGAGAACGTAACTCAATTACAAGGTGATGAGAAATGAAATGGGAGAACACTATATATACAGGAGGCAAGAACTCCTAGGAACTAAATGACATATTCTAGAATCTTTCTAGAATATGTCGTTCCATGAGCCTTCCATGGAGTTTGTAGATATCTTCTAAAATGTTTCTAGAAATGACTATTCTAAAGGAAAAAATAATTAGAGAAAATATCTAAATAAGACAGGTCGTTACATTATGCACAATAACTTATACCTATTAATTTTAAGACATTATGATCTATTATGTTGTACAAAAGGCTTAATATGTTGTATTTAAAGACTTTAATATGGATGCTTTATAATATAATAAAGATATTAATTTGAATATGGTGATTGTGATACAAATATATATATATATATATATATATATATATACTAATTTAGAAGTCCTTGACGAACAGGACTTTCATGTGATTGGCTGAATTTTGTTTTCCTTTTTTTTTTTCTTTTTCTGGTGTATTGTTTGTCAATTTAATTAGTCACTAATTAAAATTTTTAACTTTTTTCTACCGACTCCCCACCGTCTCTCTCAACTAATAAGCAATATTTTAAAAACCAGTTTTTTAGTTGAACCGGTATGGTGATCGGTTCCCGGTTCAACCGGTTCGACCGCCGGGTAAACCAGTTTCTATATTTTTAATGTTTTTTTCTATTTTCCTACACATAAATACATATATAAATTATGAATTTGATTTTACAAGTTCAAACATTAAAAAATACATATAAAAATAAGTTGTAGACAAATCCAAATACATTAAAATAACACATAACCATAAATTTTAGTGTTTTACATCAATCCATATACGTCAAAAAGAAAATAAAGTATAATACCGAAACAAAATATAGTTTTAAATGAATACAAACACATCAAAAAAATTTATAAAATTTACCATATGTTTTTATTTAGAGAAAATTAAATAGATTTGAAAAAAAATGACCAAAGTTTGTTATGTAAATTGTTCTTTTTCATGTGGTTTTATTAGGTTCAACCGGTTTATTTTGACCGGTTCAACCGGGTTTTTCTAAAAACCGGCCAGTTTAATCTGGTTCAGAAATCAATGTAAAACCAGTAATAGTTGAACCGCTTCCTTTTCTGATTCCCGGTCCAACCGGTTCGACCCCTGTTGTCAAACCGGTTTTTAAAAGATTGCCAATAAGGTTGGGGTTAGTGACAGTGTCATCGACTCAGTATCCACTGATTCTCTTTCTACTTCACCACCGCTCAAATCTTCTTACCCTTACGTTCTTTGAGGCAGTAGATCACTGGTGGTGCTGTTCCAATTCATCACTATAGCCACGTCCATACATGCAACCTTCGATGGCCTCGACACAGCCATCCCTCCTCGCGATCGATTAAGAGCCACCGACTCCACTGACTGCTGCTCGCGTCGCCCCAGAACAACTCTCCCTTTTCCCCTTCGCACATCACCATTGGAGCAGGAAGAAGCTTCGCTACTTCTTCCCTTCATTCCTTCGGTCTCGACGAATCTGCAGATGCTTCCTCAGTCGGCATCGATTCGCACCCATTTAACCACTCAGCAACCTTCGTGCCGCCTTTTGGTCGCCGATTTCCACCCTCCGCCGCTGTCTCCTTTGGGAGCAACACAAGTGACGAATTGAAGGTTTTATTCTATTACAAAACATTCCTGCGCTCCCAGAATACACAGCAAAGAGAAAACCCAAGTGTTGTAGCTGGTCAACAGGATTATAGAAGCTGAGGAACCAAAGATTAGGGTTTGATTTCGGGTTTGACAAACATTTCAGGTACATAAAATACTACCCGTTCGATATCACCTATACACTGTAATTCCGACCATAATCTTTTTCTTCTATTTTTCTTGAATCCTTTTTCATCAAAAAACATATACCCATGCAATGTGGTGGCTTTTCTTCAGTTTATTTATGTTTATAATTTGCGGTTGGTTTTAAGGGATTTAAGTTATTAATCATGGGTGTATTTGACCTAGGGTTTTCGAATTGTTCATCGGCTATGATTTATTGTTCATATGGGTATGCTTGCACCTATGCCTATATCACAGATCACTGAAGTCTAATTTCGATTTTGTAGATGTTAATTGTACGCCATTATCGTGGCTTATGATATTAGTTGTAGTTGTTTGATAATGATGAGTTCAATACTTAGAAATATTATATTTTTGTGTATGCTCGCATAATCATTGTTTCTCTTCTTGTAAAAATAATAGCGACTCTTATGGAGTACTTACTTTTTTATATCAAAAAATATATAACTTGGTGATTACAAAATTTAGCCTTACTTTCTTCTCTGATCTTAACTCCAAAATCTTTTTTCCTAATGATGAACAAGTTTAAGATCATTTGGGTTTCCAAGATTCTTTTTTTACCTACCTGCATGACTAAAATCTCATGTTTGTATATTATTTACAGCCGTCACACAAGTCATTCATGATCAAGAAAAAGCTTGCAAAGAAGATGAGGTAAAACAGGCCCATTCCTCATTGGATTCGCATGAGGACAGACAACACCATCAGGTCACAAAGACCCTTCTGCCCTTTTTGTTACATAGGTTATGACAAATTGTCCTGTGCATCAATGGAGCAAAAGTTACAATATTTTTATGCTAAAAGACGTTATTGCCTCTCATAGCCCATTATATGTTATGTCACTGTAACAAAGTATAAAGTTAATGATTATTGTTGTTGACTTAATTTGTTATTTTTTTTAGGTATAATACATTTTAAGTAGTTTCTTCATTCTACTTACTAAGATGACAATTGATTCAATTGTGTCTGAGGTCAGTTATAATATATTGCATGTTTAATATATGTTTTATTTTTGTCACTTTTTTTTTTTTTTTTCCTATTGTTGAATGCTGCTGGAAAAAAGTAAAGTGGCAAGGGTAGATGGTAAATAAATAATTATGTAATTGGTTTATTTTCATTTAACCAAATTTCTTTAAAATAATATTATACTGTCTTACTAGGTCATTTATGTTCGGCACTACCAAAAGCAATTAAGACCATGACAAGAGAAGAGAAAGTTGATTCAATTGTTCAACCACAGTGTAAGGTTGTGTAAATATATATAATTTTAAATAAATTGATAAATAATGTCTTTTTATAAACCACAGATGCATTTGGTGAAGAAGGGGTTACAATTACATCACTACCCAATGGTTTCTCTCCAATTCCACCAAATTCTATGCTTCATGTTGCATTAGAATTGGTCTGTTTCAAATCTGTAGTTGATATAACTAATGATTCAAAGGTAAATTAGAATATTATATTTATTTTAGCCATTGTATTTTCTTCCTTTTTTTTAGTTAGGTATACTGCTAAGATAGAAGATGGAACTGTGTTTGAGAAAAAGGGTTTTCATGAAGACACTCCATTAAACTTCATTACAGATGAAGGTTAGTTAGATACACGACAAATTTTTTTTTTATTTGTTGAAAAGACGTAAATACCCTCCACATTGTCATTGTAGAACAAGTGATTGGCGAATTAGGCCGAGCGGTTGCAACAATGAAGAAGGGGGAGCAAGCAATATTAACCATCAATCATGAATATGGATATGGAAACCAAGAAATGAACTGTGATTTGGCCGTAATTCCTCCCTTTTCAAATTCACTTTATGAAGTCGAAATGATCCTATTTAAAAAGGTAACTTATCATTCATAGTTTACCATAAGATTGGTTCCATATATGTATATAAGGGTAAAATGGTCATTCTGAAAATATTGGGTTGTGCGATACTGTTGGTAAACTTATGAATCCTATTTATGTTGTCATCTTTAAATCACCTGTTTTGTATTGACAATGCTTCCATATTTCAAGTTTTTTGATGATTTTATCTTTTTGATGTTGTAAGTGCTTTCAATTTACCAATCTCTTTTACTGTTGAAAGTTTCTTGCTGTTTTGGAATAATTTCAATTGTTGGACTTTTATTTCTGGCTTCAGCCCTCATGTTTTTATTAGTCGTTGTATTGGGGTGCTGATATTTTGAGCCTCCTTATTTGATTTCATACAAACGGTTGAATTGAAATCTAACCCCGCAAAGCGGGGACACTTCCCTAGTTTACTTCAATTTTAAAGCATTTGATTCAAAATGCAAAATAAGGTTCTATTTGTAAATAACAATTTTGACTCTTTTTAAGGCTATCCGGTGTGTTCAACGCCCCACCGGTGTTTTTTCGACAAAACGACGTTACCACGGCATAAACACTGCCCTCTTTACCGTTTTTGTGTGTTATAAGCTTGTCATTGCTTCCCGTTACCACTACAACCTCAGGTAACGCCGATTTCTTCTTAAATCAGATAAAAACGTTGGTGGGACGTTGCCCACACCGGATAGCCTTTTCCCCTCAACTAACTTAGATTTAATAGTTTTTATCCCTAGATATATTATTGGTGTTTTCTATGTTACGATTTTGGTTCCTTATTATATTTTTGGTCCCTTACATAATTTGTTTATATAATTTTCTATTTTATTAACCTTAATTTATATTAATTATAATTTTTTATTAATTGTCATTGGTAGTATTATGTCAAATAAGATATAATTTGAAATCTTAATTTTTTCTGTTTCTTCCGTACATAAATTTTTAATAGAAAAATTATTTTTATAATTTTATAGTCCGTTTTGTACAAGAGTTATTCATCGCAATGCACGAGGTTACTACATTCTAATTTGTTTGACTTTGTCATGACTAAGCTTTCGGGATTTGTATATTGTTCGATAAAGACTGTATTTTTATCCGATTTTGTTAGATTCCACTTTAGAAAATGGCATCGGCAATGCTTAAAGAATACATTGAAGTGATTTTGACGAATATGGATAAAACCCATAAAATAAATCTTATAGGACTAATTTGCTTGTTTTAATCTTAGTTGCTGAGTTCTTAAATGCTAGTGACGAATTCTTTAACACATGTTCAAATTTAAATTTGCTTATAAAAAATCGTTTTTTATAACATTGCTACCTGGTTCATTATAATAAAAAAATTTCAAAGCATAAATTATTAAATTTTGATGTTAGAATTGTATATTAGTCGCTTGATAAAATAATGATTTAAAATGAGTATAAAATTGTTTACAAATATAAAAATTAAAGATATCCGCAAATATGATATCTTCAAAATTTATGAAGCATAAATATTATATTTAAAAATTATAATGAATAAATATAATATTTTGATGTTTAATATATATATATATATATATATATATATATATATATATATATATATATATATATAGGTTCAGGTTCATTTGAGACCATTCTAATTTTGTGAGACCGTAAGACCAAATTTAAAAATAATTTTAAAATGCAAAATAAATGGAAAAATCCAAAAATTCTTTTTTTAAATATTATTTTCGGAACTTGAATTAACTAAAAAAAAATAAAAAAAATCCCGTTTTTTTTGAAAAATACGTGAAATATTTTAATAGAATATTACACTGACATATTCTAAAAATAATTTTAAAATGCAAAATAAATGGAAAAATCTAAATTTTTTTTTTAAAATATTATTTTCGGAACTTGAATTAACTAAAAATAAAATAAAAAAAAATCCCATTTTTTTTGAAAAATACGTGAAATATTCTAATAGAATATTACACTGTACATATTCTAAAAAATAATTTTAAAATGCAAAATAAATGGAAAAATCCAAAAATTCTTTTTTTAAATATTATTTTCGGAACTTGAATTAACTAAAAAAAAATAAAATAAAAATAAAAAAAATAAAAAAAAATAAAAAAAATAAAAAGATGCGTCTCACGGTCTCACAAAATTAGGCCGTCTCACATGAACCTAACCCTATATATATATATATATATATATATATATATATATATATATATATATATATATATATATATATATATTAATTCCCATGCCAAATAGGAATAATGGACTTTAGTATCTTTAGGTTTTTGCCACAATTCTTTAGTAATTTTCACACTTTTGGTCCATGCCGTCCATTTTTCATACTTACCTCCTACAAACTCGATGACTCATAACTCTCGGCCATGTGTCTGTTTGCTTTTGTGGGCCACATGTCTTCCATGTTCAAACTTTTGCCACAAGAGTTTGTTGAGATTTCTAATTTTGGTCCCTTATATTCTTCCACCGTCACTGTTTGCCAACGAATTATTTACAAATGTTGTTCTACATAGACCTTTGAACCTTGGAATATATGTTTCAAGAACAGAATGACACCCGACATCTCTAATTTTCTTCGTCTCTTTTTTCTTGGTCGATCAACACTCACACCGCCACCACCACAACCGTGTAGCCTCCCTTATGGAAGAACGTTTCGATAGCCACTCCATTGGATCTGTATATAAAAATTAGTTCTATCCACTTCTACCACCCCGTTGCTCCACTTTCTTCCTGCTTTTGGTTGTTGATAAAGGCGATTACGGTTTATATGATGAATCTAATTATAACATATGGAATACAATCATACTATCTAGTTCAACCATTATACTAGGATACTGAGGCATACTCAAAATCATCTCATGTCGTATTGAAAAGATAAACTCTCTTAAAGTCTTACATCTGGAGCCTTTCAAGATCACGACAGTTAATGTAATTCTACTTAATGATTTAAGTTTCCATGATCTATCTGATTAGATCTTTATGTTGGGTTTCTATGTATCTTTACAATAGATTTAAGCAACGAATGCATTCAAAAATAATCATAAGTGTACATACACCATAGATCTAGGTTTTACTATCATAGCAACATAATTTCAAACATGAATATAAACTAATCAAAAGGAATAACATTAATAACCTTTAAAGTAAAATTGTATTTACTTTAATCCTCTTGAAGATCTCGAACTCTTGATTTCTTCTTGGAAGGACTAGCACCCAAAGTTGAACGCCTCTAATGGCTCACACCTAAAAGTTTAAAACCCTAGAATATTTAGGAGTGAGGCTACTGAGTTATGAAAATGTCAAATTTATGAGAGGTTCAATTAAAATTCGTAAAGGCCAGAGGGTTCCTTATATAGTTGAGGTAGCTTATAGACAAAACAAATTTGAATCAATTAAATAACTAGATTTAATCTAGATTCACATCATTTCCTTATCTGTTACATAGAACAATTCTATAAGCCTTCTAGAGCTCCCAAACCCGTCCACCCCTTTAGGGATTCCAAAATGTTCCTTCTGCTTAACTATTAAATAATTAACATTCACTCTCTACACCTTTAATAAATTCTTGATTAATTCTAATTAACTCCGAATTAATTTCAATTAATATTAATCAATTCTAATTAGTTTCTAATTAATTTATTAACAAGTAATAAATTAATAATCTGGTTTCATCAATCTCTTAAATTCTTTCTAGCTATTTTAGCTCTGAGGGCAATCCAAAAAAGGACATTGTTATCATTCCCAAAGTTATACCAATTTAGTTATGATATTAGACACCTTTTTCCAACAGTCTCCCACTTAGTCAATTCATTAACTACTATTGGTCAAATAATTTTCGAATAACCAACTAAGCATGGCTTCCACTGCAACTGCCGAACTCTAATCTTATCAAGTACCAGCCCTTAGATAAGTGATCAATTATTTCTCTATTTCTACAAGATGTCATTGTGAACCGAGTTATGGGTTAAGAATCAACCTAACAATTCAACATTATGTTTCTAGATTTCTGATTTATGATTATCAAACCAGACTACTAATTAAACACATCAATTTAGCTCAGACCTGGTGATGCGAATACGAAGCATGGTTTCTTTTTGGGTTTTTATGATTGCAACGAAAACAAGAAACAAAGACAAGAAAACAAGAAAAAAGATAGATTTGATAATCTATCTAGACTTATAGATTGAATATCAGTGAAAACAAATCAAAACCTATTGGTTTGAGTTCTATCAAAATCAAGAAAGCCTCCATCAATTGATATGTGATAACAAGCAAATACCTATTGAATTGAAATCGATCCATGATTGAGAAAACGCATCTCAAAGAATGACATAATCTGAATTATATGCAGTAATTCAAGAAATAACGAACAAAGTTCTTTTCCGATACAAAAATTAATCATCTTACAAATGATCTACCAAGGGCTATTTATAGCCTAAAAACAATAATAAAAAGAAAACTACTAAATAAAAGGAAACCGCCTATTAAAGGCTTATTAATAGCAAAAATAAGTCTAAAACCATCTCTAGAATCTTCCACCCTTAGCCGACGTAAGAAACCATGCAAACTCCTCTCAACGGTGACCTCGAGTTTCCTTCATATCCAATAGTCTTTCCGGGTTCACAATCGCAACTGATCACATTGTGAGGTTGTTTGCATCTGATAACACTCTGAGGTTCGCATTTGCATTTGCATTCACAACTAATAAAAAGATAACATGACGCCTTGCGATCATTCGCATCGAGTAGCAACTACTCACACTCATTTGTATTTGATGTTCATAAGCGTTCACTAGTGAGTGTGATGGCTTGGTGAACATTCACACCCATTCACATCCATTCGCAACTAACACTCGACTCAGACTTTGAAAGGACTTTTGAAGGGTCTCGTTTCACACTCGTATCATCCCTTCCCCTTTTGAAAAGAATTGTCCTCAATTTAGCAAGGACTGCAAAATGTTTTTCTTCCATACAAACCTTTCAAGTCGGTATCTCCTCCACATACACATGTTCTTCTTTAAACAAGTCAAAGAACTCACTGAATTCAATCCTAACCGTATCTTCCATTTGTGGATCCAAACCCACCTTTGTACATTCCTATGAACAAGATTAGGAACCTATAAGTTAACCTTCTAATAATTTAAATGATTAATAACAGTC